AAAAAAAAAAAAAAAAGAAAAAGAAAAGTTATCAAGTTAAAAAAGTGATTTAAGAAAATCAAAGCAAACCCCCACAGCACACTCACACTAAGCAGGCTAGAGAGCACACACACGGCCCCCGGGGGGCCCGGCATTACCTTTCTATCCCCTCTAGGAAGGATAGAGCAGTCTCCTGGAGTATAATCCCATATCTTTTTGGGAGGCTGATGGGAAGCAGAGGAGGAAATGGAGAAATGAGCATAAAGACAAACACGGAGACCGGCTCAAACAAAGAGGGGCACACGGGGAGAGCTCATCAGCACACGGGGCGGGCTACAAGCACGGGCGTGAGCTGGGCGCTAACTGGGATTCGTTTCTATGTCTCTGTCTCAAGAGCACATCATTGTTGGAGTCCAAATATTGCAAACTTAAAAGACACAAAGAAGAAGAAGAAGAAAAAAAAAAAGCATTAACACCAATTTGAACCGAAATAGAAACTTTAAAATTCCTCATTGGTCTTTTCAAACTAAGACTGACGCCGAGATTCTACGGGCTCACGGCGGTCTTCCCCCGGTGACACGCACCGTTTGCTAACCGGTGTGTGCTTTTGCAGATTTGGCCAATGGTAAATTGAACTAAATGTGTTTTCTGTGGTTTGTGGCAATGAAACCCATGTACAAATTGGGTGTTAAATTTCACACTGCGTAACTAGACAATTTTTAAAATCTTTCAGTTTAACGAGACTGTGTTAACACTGCTAATGGAAGAGCCGTACCTTCTACCTCCCTCAGAGAACTGAGTTTACACTTTGAATTTAAACAGCAGACTGTGAGGTTATTTTGTTTTCTCCGTGAACCCTTCAAGATGGAATTAGGGTTGCATTCCTAATTCCGGCCGGGGAACCGCTATAAGATTAGTGAGGGAGGAGTGAGAACAGGAGGACACCTGGAAGTTACAAGCCACTTCTAACTCTGGAACCTCTCTCCCCGAAAGTGGGCCATCTTATTCTGCCCACTTAGACCTGCAATTTCGTGTACAGTGACCTCTGAGGAGACGAGAGCACTAATAGCTCCTGGATTTTGTGCAAATTTCATTATAATCAATTATGGAAGCATTCAAATAGGTTTACATTGTGACATTTTTGTCTTGAGCTTACTTACAGAAATCAATTTTTGTAGACGTTAGAGGGGGAAAAAAGAAGAAAAAAGCTGGCGCCCAGGCTCTTTGTAATAAATTTGCAATGGAAAGTAATCTGATTTCAAGATGCATTCCCCACTGTCAGCAACGGGGCAGTAGTGTGATCTCTGTAGATGTATCTTCTGCAATTTATATAAAGGGAGTGCTATAAACACTCATCATTCTTCTTTATGCACTTCATAGATTGTTCCTATGGGGAGGCAGACTTTTTAAAGTCACGTACAGCACCCCTACTCGTTTATTTAATGCAAAAAGTAAGGCAGTGCTTACAAATTAAATTGGTTTTAAATAACCTTCCCCAAAATGGTCCCTGGGGTGTGGAATGATTTGATATTCCACAGCAACCTATTGGAGTCACAAGGTATTATGGTCAGGATCTTGCTGAAGTTTCAGGGTGGTTTGGGTGGCTCCAGTGAAGGGGCTGGAGAAGAAAGGAGCGCAGGGTGACTCTGGTGTCAGGGTTGTGGCAGGCTTTCCTCACTCGGGGGAGGGGGTCCTGAGTCCAGGTGGAATAACGAGAAGAAATGATGCCGACGCTTTGTCAGGAACTTTAATTTCATTCTACTTCTGAATGACTGAAACACCTTCGAAAACAAGTTTCAAGGTTTATGCCACTTTGATTTATGTCTCTTACCCTTTTCCGGCCCAGAGTGACTGGGGCAGGAGAGAAATTAAGAGAAAAAATTTCTCCCCACCACACCTTCTTACCAAACACTGGGAGTGACACCCAGTCATTAAACTTGGTTCAACTAGTTAATAAGCCCACCCTCAGGATGCCTTAGACCATGGAGCCATTCATCTCAACACTGCTCCTCAGGGGAGAGAGTGATCAAGTTGTTTTGGTAAGTCTTCGAAAGTATTCTCTTTTATTACTTTATAAGACCTATGCAAAAGGTAGTCGTCCCACTTAAGGACTCTAAGGTCTATGCAAGGACTACTCAGGGCTTGACAGAAAATGACATTTTGGAAAAGCATCTCTTTAAATAACACAGGGGCAGTTAGAACAAGGTAGGGATACAAATTACACGGAGGTCCCAATATGTCAATAGATTGTGTTCCCAGCATGGGTTTGGATCGGCTGTGGGGCACTCAGACAAGATTCCAGTAGAAACAGTGTTCATTCACTGAGCTCCTCACAGAGCCTGTTTAATGTGTGCGGGACGGAAATACTGTCTGTTGCTGACAAAAACAGAATTATTTGCAATGACAACTTTAGTGAAACAAACCCATTAAGATTAATTAGGAAAAAACCTGTTTCATAACGTTTTCTAAAAGCTAATATTTAAGAGAAAACTAATTTAGTCATTTGGCCATTGAGGAGACAGCTAGAAGTTTGTGGATTCTGAATGGGACTTCAGAAGTCAAAGGCACAGACTCTTGCTTATACACAATGTAAAGCGAATAGATTTTGGTTTTCCCCCTGGTGGAAATATGGTATAATTCTATATACCAATCATGGGGGAGAAGGGAAGAACTGCATATACCAAAAGGTTTTTCTGTGAGATAATTGAGCAAGTCTTAAGAAAAAGAAAAGGGTCAGAATACTGTTTAAATATTTGCATGTAAAAAAGGTTGCCTGAGGTAGATGCCATTGATGTCTGAATCGTGGACAGTAGAGAAAAGAGGGAGAGAAGGAAGTGAGGTGTTTATCAAAGGTTTGGGAAAGGAGGGGAGACGGTGCACATTTTGGGTTAGACGCTTCCCTCTCCACTGGCCACGAGGTGGCGCTGTTCATCCAGGACAGCGTAGCGGCTGTTAGGAGGCAGTGCTAAGGAGGGGACAAGGCCCGAGGAAGGTCTGTTCCTACAGGGGATGTTTGAAAGTCAGGGGTTCCCCTCAGAAGATGCAGGACCTTTGAAACCAAGCTCAGCATCACTAAATCAACTTAGCAATTTCAGAGCAGGAGCTTAATTTGTCTTTGTCTTCATCTTAATAAATATACACACCATGAAATTTAATATTTTACTAAACCATAAAGTTAATTCCTGTCTGCAGATAAAAACTATCATTCCAAACCACAGTGATTCAAATACTGGATTCAATGCTTAAAGTATCATACAAACATCTAGTAAAATGTTTTATTTTTATACTTAATCCCCCTACCTGAATATTCTTTTTGCAGTTGCAATAATTAAGATTTAAAGTAACTGGAGTTTTAAGTCAGTTTCCAGTCATCTCTAGTGGAAAAATAAGCTCTACTCTCCCTTCTGTTGGATACTGTTTTGGGTGCAGGGCTATGAAAATCCTCGTTTAAGTGCCCCAAATCAATTTGTACCGAAGCCAACTCAGACACATCAGAGGGAAGTTGCAGAATATTATTAGGCTGAACACTAAATTTGCTAGAATTCCTAACTCCCATTTCAAATTTTGGGAAATATTATTTAACTCATAGAGCTCATTCCCTAGAAGTCACCTGAAATGGGGTTGTATTCGTGGATCACATCTGCACAGAGAGCCCCTTTGTGGTCGGCTTTGGCACTTCCCTTGCACATGTGCTTTTAAAAATTCTGTCTAAAGTGGTGACAATGCTGGTCTGCTCGGTGTGTAATGCATTTTCCTGCTTGTCTTCAGTATGCCATAAAGACTTTGGTCAAGGCACTAAACCACGATCAATATAATGACATCCACAGGCACGTGATATTTGTTGCTAGTGGTGGGAGGTCCTAAGACAAGCAAGGATTGAGTTGTCTCTGGGATCTTCTGGCAAGAACTACTTCCAGAGACCTTTGACCTTTCTTGGTGAAGTGAAGCAACGGAAAGCTTACAGGTGTAGTGAGACTAGACAATTCCACTACTGACAACTGACATGATGCTTCCCCGTTCCCTAAATTCCTTACAAACAGATGTGGTTCTTTAGCAGCAACAATGCAGCAACAGCATTATTTTAAAAAAATGTCTATAACCACTGAGGCTATTAAACTTACCGGTTTCCCAAACTCCAATTCCGAAAAGAATTTATACCAAGGTTCATTCTTTAAATCTATCTCTTCTGGGCTTATATCCCGACTCTATAGGGGTTGGTGACAGGGAAATGGAAGAGAGAGAAGGATAACATTATGCAGAGATCACACAGGCACAGGCCAGTAGAGATGCAGTGGTTTCCAGATATACACAGCAGCTGCATTCAACAGCAGCAACCGCCCGTTTTTACTGACGTTGGCAACATCATGGAGCTAAAACAGGTGGGAAGGATGTGTTTATAGAAACAGGGACATTGAGCTAGGGAGCAGTGATGAATCACTCTCAGTCCCAGGGCAGAAGACAGATGGGCTGATGAGGGAGCCCTGCAGCACACGGCTGCCCCCCACAACAAATATGGGTACAGTCCAGCAGTATTCCCATGTTGTGGGAGAAAAGAAAGCCCTTAGTTCCTCTTTACGAATAACTGTTATGAGCAAATAAGCACACCAAACATTTAGACACTTATGCCAGGTGAGTAGAGCAAACAATTTTTATGGGCTAGTACAGTTTTAGTGCTTATTTGCAAGGCTGCCTTAAGGTTTTAAAAATAAATGCAAATACTGACACTTTCATAAAAGCCAATTTGTTAATACTGCATCTTTAATGGCACATGAGTAGGTGAGAAACCATGTCCCATACACAGTAAAGTGAAAGATGGTATAAGTAACAACAGAGGACACAAGTGAAAAAACATTTTAAACAAGCACCCGTGGGGGATGAATACAGATAGAATACACTTTATGTTCTAACAGATAAATGTTAAAGAACTGGGAAAAATTAAAGCGAGGGAAAAGCTGAACAAGACAGATAACAGAACAGCAGGGGCGGGGAAAACTTCTGGGTTATGTTACAAAAATGAGTTAGATTTCTCACTTTACAGAACTCTAAGGGGTAGTTCACACGGACTGATAATTGATTCCATGGGATTTCATATTTAATCAAATAGTTATAAAGATCTGGTACCTTGCTGTGGAATAACATGTGTTTCTGGAAATAATTAGTTAAAAATGAATGCCTGGAAAGCAAATCAAGTTTCCCCTTAATAAACCGGAGATATATTCACAGCAGACAAAAGCGTTAGAGGCTCATGGCTTAATTAAATTCTTACATGTGTATATTTCAAAAAACATTAATAGTCACGAGAGAGATGGTGACGTTCTGATAACAAGACGAAATATGAAATGTACGTTTTCCACTGAGGTTGCAAACAGTGTGTAAGAAACTTCGCTCCCTCGGGGCTCCGACACAGGAGGAAGGAGGCTGCAGGTCTGGACACGTCTTCGATGCTACGGCTCCCCAAGCAGCTCCTCCTGGATACATTTTTCTTAACGGTCAGTTAACAGGCCTTTTGCAGCTTGTATAAATGGCTGTGAACTCTCTCAGTGATCTTTAAAACCCTTAGGAGAATCTTTACCACTATTTCTACTTTTGATTAAAATCAAGGAAAATATGGCAGAAAACTTTCCCTTAACCAAAATCCACTAAATATAAGTTAGTTGAAATCAGAGGGAAACCTCCAGACTAAATCCTGCCCCAAGTCTCGTCAGGGACGTAGGGCCTAAATCTGGAAGGAGACGTCGTGCTCCTTCTCAGTGGATTCGGTAATCGTGTAAAATAAAGGATTCTGTATTTATTCGGTGAAACGAGGTCCCATACCTACAAGGACACAACTGTTCAGGAAAAACAGTTAAGACCTTGGGATGTCCTAAATCTTATATGATGGGGTTTCATGAAACCTATTTCGTGTTTATTATTTTTAGAGACTATTTATAAGCTGCTCTCTGGGAATAGGTTAGGCTTTAAAAAAAAAAAAAAAAAAAAAAAACCAACTCTTTCAGGAAACTGCCTGAATGCGTTGGTACTCAGTCCTGAAAGAATTAACCCATTTTATCGTCGAAGGTTGTTTGCAGATTGTTCCACTGCTGAGGTTAATACTGTGCCAAGAACAGAATCAGAAGGCATGTGGACCAGCTCGGGCCCAGGGCAGTGGCCTCAGTCCTTTGAGCTGCCTGGAGAGAACATCTGCTAACATCTGCATTTGATTTTGCCATTTTTAACTCAGCCGCCCATGCAGCTGTGGAACAAACAGTAAAGCTCCTCCTGGACGCACAGCAGGGTCTTGGGACTGGAAGGCAGGGCAGGCTCCACGATGCCAGGCTAAGTTCCCTGCTGCCGGGGGTTCTTCTTTTCCCAGCTTGGCAAAGCTCTTGGAAAGGGCAGGTGTCTTTCCAGGAAAATGCCCAGTTGCCCTCAAGGACAGTTTTGTTGCTTGAACAGGAGCCAGAGACCAGCTTCAAATTTTAATTAAATAGTAATTTGAATACAGTATGCTCATTGGCACAGCACTTTATAGTGTTTGGGGTCCTCTCATCCACATTATTGCCCTCGACCCTCTCACTAACGACCTCAGTGAGGTCTCAGGCCAGATAATACTTCTGGTTACAGATGAAAACACTGAGGTTCAGAGAGGTTAAAGGACTTTCTCCAAGACAGAAGGCAGGCTCAGACCTTGAACTCAGAGCTCAGGTCTTCTGAGTCCAGTGCTCTTTACGACACCTTGCACTTCTTTCTCACACTCCCTATGAGAAGGGGGCAGACCTACTAAGTGTGCAGATGATACAAAGCTAAAACAGGGTTAAGCGACAGACTTGAAAAGTCAAGGAGGAACTCAAAGTGACCGTGAACTGGGAAGAAACCAAGTTGGGTAAAAGCCCTTATTTTACTTCCAAATATATGTTGTATAATTACCACGTTAGTGTCTGTCCTTCCCACTGTTGCCCCACGGGCGCAGGGACCCCAACATCTAACCCAGGGCCTGGCATATGAAGGTTATTCTGTTTGTTGAGTTGAGCCCAAGTCCTGTAGGGGAATTTGGAAGAAAGTAAAAGGAATGAAGCCTGAAAAAGGCTACTTCCGACAAAGCAGGGACTGACCAATGATCTCCATTTCCAAGGCCAGAAGAGAAGTGGATTCACACAATGTAAGACAGGCCAAGAGGTTATGAAGAACTTCCTGCGATTTTGCCAAGCAGCTGAATAGGCCATCGAAGCTGGACATCTCCTGTTGGGGTGTTTGAAGGCGGTTATAGGGTTTGGGACAAGATGAGCTCTAAGCCTTTACAGTCTACCATTCAACCCTTCCTGCAAACAGGGGAGAGGTGTGCCAACAAGGTCCCAACTTAAATCGCCAGGCTTAAGCAGACATGAGTACCTCAAATTGGAAACAAAAGCATACCCCCCCCCCC